TATGTAGAATTAAATATTCATAAAAGTAAAAAGAAATCAATTTACAACTTCCGTGATATTCTCTTATCGAGGGTTTTTATTTTATATAATTACATATTTGAAATTTCATTCAAGGGTACTTTAATGAAATTTCAAATATGTAATTATATAAAACTAGTAAACCTGGCGAACTCCGTTTCGCCACCAGAAGGCTTTTATATAACATTTCGTTTGGTGATTAAAAGATGAAGAATTTTTTGTTTTATATTTGAAAAGGAAATTTTTTATTTCATTTCACAACAGTAATGAATTCATTTCGATTACAAAAATGAAGTGTTATTTAGTTGAACTTCTCTAAGTAAATGAAAGTGAATCCAAAGTAGATACCGAATCGAAGCGTTATACATGTCCGCAAATTATCCGTTTCATTGAAGTGCTCCTTTGTAAACCACATTTTTTGTTTTTTGGTCTAACTTTAACACAAATAAAGCGTATGGTTTCCAAACTCGTGGACACGCAAAATATAACTGCCCATGTGAAAAACACTGATTTTCTAAATTTATCCCGCAAATACTAAATGGTTTTAAGAGTTCAAACTACAAACACATTACCTAAATATTTTTATTTTTATATAGTAGATTTCTTACAAATATCTAATTGTCATCCATACGTCAATTGCATAGCTGTCAATTGTGTTATTCCACGTTTTATAATGACTGACGTTTCATGTCAAGTCCCACGGGAATGCTGTCGAACGGGATAAAAAGTATCCAATTGCAATTTCCTGGTTCTAAACTACCTCCCTGCCAATTTTCAGCTGAATCGGTTCAGCCGTTCTTGGGTTATAAGTGAAGTCACTAACACGACTTTCTTTTATATATATAGATTTAATATCCTGCATAATGATACTAGATTTAGATAATCATGTACAGTGTATTAACTTTGATAAGAGTTGGTTGAGAAGCAAGAGTAAATATTTTCGTATAGGATATAATAATTAAAAAAAAAATTGAATTGATTAACAATCAACCAAATTAACAAACAACCGCTCTCACAAGTTTAGTTAAATATATATATTGAAAAAATGAACACATCTGAATAGAAGAATAATTATAAGTAATAATGTTGAGGTTTAAAAAAATTCGTTTAAAAAATACATTGAAATATCAACTCTCGCTTCGGTTGAATTGATATTTAAATCGTACTTAAAAATACAAAAACAATGACCATATTATATGTTATACATATATAATCGTCGAATTAGGAAGCCTGAAGAAAAGAAATGACTTCATCAAACTTCGCTTAACTCTGTCCACCGCTAAACTGTAAGTAAAGCTATCTAACTAGTCAGTAACAGTGTTAGTCCCTTGTTCAAGAGAAAATTAATTTCATGCGATCGTGTAGATTGAGTAATCTTCCGGCTTGAACCTATCGTTTTATTTGTAATACGTTAAACATCGTTAAGCTAAGAGTATTTAAGAATATTATTATTAAAGGAAACGTTTAATAAATAAAATGAAATAAAAAATATGTTTTAGATATAAACTTCAAAGTATGTGACGCTTATATATATATACATCTTATCTTCAGCCGTGTGAGGTCCAATGTTGAACATAGGCCTCCCTCATTGACTTAATCGTCATGATGGGGATTTGTCTATACTCGCCACGCTTGGCAGACGGGTTAGCGAGCGCAGTATAGATGACCTGCTCCAGGAAGATGGTGCTGCCCATCTTCCTGACAAAATATATCCCCTAGTCGCCTTTTACGACACCTACGGGAAGAGAGGGGGCAGTGCTATTCGCAACCGGCACTGCACGGCAATAAAAATTAATAATTATTATTTTTTATTCATTAATGTGACGCTACCAGTTTTATATTATTAATCAAGCTAAAATTAATATTTATTAAAGTTTTGAATTTATTTCAAGTATATATATAAAATATCACTTCATAATGATTAAGTTTCTAACACAAAATTGCTTATAAATAAATCTAAATTATTATTATTTTGTGGAAGTCGATAATGGATTCGAACCTTTCAATTTTTTCTAGTAATGTCCATAAAACACAATAATTATCGTATCCAGTTACATTAAACATATTCATTCTAAGGTAACACATTTAGAAAGTAAAGTTTTTCTATTATATATTCATATATAATGTATCCCAAGAGTATTTTATTAAAGGCTATTCAAACATCAGAAATTTGTAAGAACTGTCAAATGTTAATAAATGGATAAAGATAAAACTCCCGTATAAAAATAATCCCTGAAGTGAAATTTGTCAAAACTTTGTATGATGAATAATTAAATGATGGAAGGAATAACAGAGGAATAAAAGTTTTATGTGTTATAATTTGTCCGAAATAAATGTGATAATGGGTGACAAATTTTAAGTTCTCATTACCTCAATTTTAAGTTATTGGAATCTTTTATAGATAGTTTTTATTTCATTTTCTCATCCACAGTTAGTTATAAATTATTACACTCTTTTTTTAGAAAGGAACTGCATTTAATATAAAAATTTGGATTTACATTCGTTATTTTATGTTCAGGCCTAGTTTAAGAGTAAGTCTACGGTATGCTTCGTCTAAAGTTGGTAACGTCACATTGTACTCGTGGCGTTAACAGTTTTTTGCTAATAAATCTGTTCATATTATTAAATAATATGAACAGATAGTATTAAAGAAGTTTATCGAAATAGAAACGGGTAACACTTTGTATATTGTCTAATGATACAAGCTTGTGTAAATTATAAGAAGATTCGTCATTTTCTGTAGTTGTCTGAATGTAAAATTTTACAATTTCAAATATGTAAGAACAAATATAAACATACATGAGTTTCGCTTTTTACCTATTAGTCCTCACTAACACAAAGGTTACATATATTTTTTATTATCTTATATTCTACATGAAAGCTTTGTGTTACTTCTGCATTGGTAATATGGTTAAATATAAAAATAATATTATATTTCATACAGATACAGACGAACAATATCAGTTTCTGCCAGTAAATATGTCAAGATGAAGTTGAATTGAATAGAATAGAAGTTTGATAAAACAAAATATATTTTTCATTCTTTGACAACTGTTTTGTATTGTACATTTTCTGTTTCGATACAATTGCTTATAAATTCATTTTTCTATTGTCTTCGAGAGTCGTCCAAGTATTTGATTTTTATATATACGTCCAGTTACGATATTTTCAAAAATCATTTCACATTACATATTCACTTAGGAAATAAAATATATTGATGCATCTTTGAAATATGTTTACTCTATACTCTAATACATGTTTAAATTAATAATAAAAAAGCATAAAATTATGATATTTTTTAAAATTGATATATATAAATATGTATAATACATTAATATAACAATTTTGACAATCAGATAAAAAAATATAATTTAAGTAGTTTTTCAATTCAAGGCTCATTTTTAAATAATGCATTGATCACAGGAGATTCTCAATATATGTTATTTTTTTGGGTTTGTTTCAAAATACATTGATGATTCTCATAATTGCTGTTAGGTTCGATAGGGTTTACTCTTGAATGAGGTCCATAAAAAAATATAAAATATCCATGCTGGCGTTTGACATGAGAAACGAGATAACACGTCGTATAGCTTTGAATAGTTTTCTATTTCAGTTTTAAATTGTCTATTTTCTTGTTGTCTATTTTCCTGTAATAGTAAAAAAATACTTTTTTTTCGATGTTGTTTATTTTACCTACACCTACAACCACTCCTACGCCTATATCCATTATCTTATATATCATATAATAATACTATCTATTGTTTTGCTCTTTGCATTACATCCTTTATCTGATTCATTTTTAAGTGAACATTCTTTTACTAATATGGAAGAAATATACAAACAATGACATATGTAATATTTGATAGTCGGCATTTTACGAATTTTAAATCAATATCTTTTGATAGCTACTCCAGATAATTAAAATCAATTTTCCCGTTGGCAGATTCCTGACTCTCAGATAAATTGAATTTTGCCAAAATGGAATGGAATCCCAAACGTTAATATTTTGATGACTCTTAAATTGACTTCAACGGTCGACATGAAGTGATAGATATTAATTAATACGATTATTTTATGTGAACTGCATTGGTTATATGGAAGTAACATATTTTGTAATATTGCATTCCATTATTTTGCATAATTTAGTACGTACATCTAGTCTATAGCGAAATATAGTTTCTAGGAAAACTATGAAAGCGTAGATACTTATTTATGTATGTTATACAATTATATTCTTTAAAAAAAATTTATGCATCAATGGATAGGTTTTTTATATTTTATAATAGAAAAATATATAAAAATTTTATAGGTTTCAACGTCGAGATCATTTAAGCGTAAAGACAGCTACGTAGCTATAACTTTTAATTAAGAGTTTCTGAATGTAATAAACTTTTTGTAGTTTAAAAAAGACGTTCAGATTACGTTTTTTTTATTTTAAAAGTCAACAATTACTTAAATATACATAATTCTAGATAATTTTAGAAAATATTGTGCTTATCTTTTATGAGCGTAGTTATTGAGAGTGAAATTATCGATATTATTAGACTTGGTTTCTGTAAAATAGTCTTTGATATATAATTCTTTCGTTTAGTTCATTTTATTTCACAAAATTAGATTAATTTATTTAAAAAATTAAGACTACATAAATTACGGAACATAGTTCAAAACTGTTTTCTGATAATAGTTTTAAGATTTGTTAGTTTAAAAAGAAGTAACTAATAGCAAAAAACGCAATAAAATGCCCTGCATGGCTTAACTGGCTTAAATGGCTTGAGGAATATACCCAAAAATAGATAAAATGTTTTTATAATTTAAAATCATTACATAGTGAGATATTTTTCGTTCTAATAAAAATTGATTTAAATTTTGGGTATTCTAATAGACCTCAATAGATGTATAAATTGTTATAAATTGACAATTAATAATTTTAGCACAATTTTTAAAATACATATTTACAATTGTCTTTGTTACAGTAAATCACGATGCGCTTGGTCATGCCGGGCTGTGTGGTTGACATTCGCAAGATGCCTTATGTTCGACTGCTTCTTATCGTCATCGCTATGGGGATTTATCTTACCATGGGTTAGTACAAATAACTTGTAGTATGAAAAATGTTACTTTGACCTTAGTTTATACTTACGCAAAGTTCTAAGGCCCTTCGTTGCATGAATTTAAATCAGTTTATATCAAAGTATTTTAATTAAGCTTATGGTTATTATTGTGTGAGATCTAGCTGTACTGTAAATATATATACAAAAGAGATATGGATTAATTTATGAGCATTTCAAGTAACCATAAAATTGTGTTGGCATGTATATAGTACCATTTATAAGTACTTATAATGTAATTATAAAATATCATTAGGTTTTTCTTTTCTAAAAATATTCACTTTTATAAGTAATCTGTTAGAGTAATTTAATTTAATTCCATTCTAAAATAGCATACTATATTTTTATAAAAATTCCGTGCAAATCCAGTTAAAGTTCATTTCTTAAGCGTAACACGATGTACAAAGCTCAACTTTTACATTTAAAACGATGACAAAGACCTTTCGCAGTAAAACAGCTAGCAGTAAAATCGATATTAATGTTTTGCTTTTGTGTATATAAAATAATTTGAGTTAATTAATATTAAATTGTCGACCCGGTTCAAATTCATTTTATATAGCTATCCTGAAGTTTCTTTTGCTTGGAATTTTTAATTTGATAACAAAAATAATAATTAATTTTGTAACGCTATTGTCTGTGATTTTCATTTATTAGAAGTTTATTTATTATTTGTAGGGGCATCTGTGTTCCAAGCCCTGGAAAGACCAGTGGAAAGAGAGACCGAGAAGCGTATTGCGAAGATTAAAAATGATTTTCTTGTCGAACATCCATGTGTAACAGGTAAGTTAAACTGAATTGTTTAGATGCAATCTTTATATGCGGTTTGATAGATGAGTTGGATTGAATTCCGATTCAATTTTAGTATAATAAGTACAAAGAGTGTCAATTTAGTTGAATGTGAATTGTAAGAGATGGAGTGAATTACATATTCTTTTTAAATCTCTGATCTATAAATAAATCTTTACCATTACTTACATTACGTCATTTGATGGTCGTTAGATGTTTATTATAGTTTTAAACAGTTAATAATTAACTATTAAGAAAATAGGTCGTTCTGTTTGTCTTTAACCCTTGATGACGCAACACACAGTCAGATCGTTGTCACAAATCATACGTTAAACGTCATGACTTCAGTACTTGCAATGTAAACAGTCTATCAGCACTCACTAGAGTGGGGCATGTTTATTATTATTGTTTTCCTACTTTATCTGAACAAAGAGCACATTATTGTAAACAGCTATATCTAACACGCGACAAAATGATTAAAACACATTTCTCAGAACTTGAACTCACGGCGTCTTTATAGTATTGATAATTGCTGTGCTAATCCTTACCAAAATAATGGGACTTGCTTATAACCATCACCTGTTGTAACATGAAAATACAAATTATATATTTTGCTTCATTAATACAAAAATTTGTTCAACGTAAACATTTCCTTCGGATGAAAGGTACCCATATTAATCGAGATTTGAATATCGTTTGTGTAAAATAAAAAGATGTTTTTAGGAAATCCATATTTATAAGTATGGAATTTTTTATGAGTCATTAACATAAATGAATTTAAGAATGAATTCATTGCAAAAAATCTTTTCTACCGTCAATATCTCCGGCCACATAAACAAACAATATCTCCGGCCATATGATGAAGTACTGAAGTCGTGGCGTTGAAGTACTGATGGCACATATGTATATATTATATATATATGTACAAACAAGTATACTTACAAGTACAAGATTATTATCGATGAACTGAAATATTTTCTTATAAATTCTGGATAGTGATTGAAGTTTTTTTCTTATACCCGAATGTTATAGACGTTTATATGAATACTCTAATACATATAACATTACAGTAATAGATAATTAATCAACGATAATATTCTACAAAGATACTGAATCACCAACTACTAGCGTGAGCGTCTGTTTTAATAAACAGTAATGATATCATTATTACAAGAGTTAACGAGTTTTTAACAGCATTCACTAATTACACATTAATAATTAATCTATCCATTTATATATTAACTATGGAAACCACAAATTTAAATAAATATTCTCGATTACACCATACAAAGAAAAGAAATAATAAATAATATAATATAACAATAATAAAATAATTCAAAATGCAACAAATTAACAATAATTACTGTATTTACATAACTAAGAAACTTTTATATTATAAATAAAGGTTGGTCTTGTTGGGTGCGCCGGCGCAGTATCGTCACTTTTTTTATGCACTTTGTGTTCTCCGTTCACCGTCAGCGGTACATAACTCAGCAGTTGATAGTTGATCGTTGTGCGAGTAGGTACTGTGCGTTTGAGCTCTGTAACCATTTAAGTATCTAATTCATTTGTGGTGTGCTACCCTAAAATGTATCAAGATGACATCTAAAGTGTGTACCATGAAAGTGTTTTCGTTATTCTTCGAACCTAATCACCCTAAACGTTTTTTCAAGTATAGTTGACCGTAATTTCTTCCGTTCCGGTTTTTTCGGTACGGACATTGTCAGAAAGTTAGTGTAATATTTGACGCAGCTAAAGTCGAGCGCTTTAATATGAACTTTACAGTGTTTTTTTAAGTACGTTTTGATATATTTTTCTTATTTGGACAAGTAATTATAACTGGAGTGAACTCTGAATAAATAATTTGCTTTTCGGAGAAGATTTACAAAATAGCTAAATCAAAATGCCAGGCCAACTAAATAGCAATGAAAGGCCAAAATACCCTCGTATACATTCGTATGGGAGCATGAGCTCGGCAAGAAGTGACGATGATATGACAGTCCATAGCCAATTATTTCCCTACCCGAAAAAAATGATAGTACCGAGAGAAATTTTGTACGAGGAAGAACATCCACCGTTCCAACCGCTATTCGCTACTAGTAGGATTTTCGGAAAAGCGAGATTCACCTGCCTTTTATCGATTTACATAATCTTTTACATCTCGTATTTGCTGTCTGGTGCTTTAGTGTTTTCTGCTCTTGAGACTCCTTTAGAGAATCAGGTTCTGCTGGATGTCATCCGAACTAAACAAGACTTCGTAACTAAATATCCTAACGTCATGGGTAAGTACACCTGATAAATGTTAAAATAATATGTACTAACTTTTTTATACTTTAAACATTAAAAATAAATAAGTTGAGTTTTACTTTCGGCTCAAAGTTTGTCTGTTCTTCTTTAACATTATTATAATTTACTTACGTGAGACTCAAAATTATTCCAAGAATATAAAGAGAGCAGCACTTGCTATAATTTGGGATTTCTAATTTATAAGTTTTAATTGAAGTTATTAAGAAAATTTATATTACATTCATATAGAATATGTTCAAGCTTGTGCCTTCACAAGTTTCTATAAAACTTCCCAAAGTTTTATAATGTTTTTATTATAATTTATTTGATTTTATCTAACAAGATAAAGAATAAAGATTACTAAAATTGAATATTTTGTATCTACTATGTATATAAGCTGTTATGGCATGATACATATTTTTATTTTTCTGACAGAATGAAATGAAATGCAAGAGAATATTAAGTAATTATAAGTCTAAACAGGTTTTTAACAAGTAGTCTATTATGCATTCAGTAATTTTCTACTCAATAGTTTTTAAAACACGACTTCTGTCTAAAGTTTTGTGAGATATCTTTTGAAGTAAAAATATTTTAATATATAATATTTTATATAATTATGGAAAAGTCCATACCAGGTATATTTATAGAATTTATTTATGTTAGTAGTCTATTTTAATATATATGGCTTAATCCATAAACGATACTTAAAATGCTTTTAGTCCATTTTATAATTAGCCGTGGGAAGCCACCCGATTTAATTTATGCCCACATCTGACATTTATTAGCGTTGATTTTTAACGCTATAAATAAATGTTTAACTTATTTGATTATGGATAAAAATTATCATATTGGTAACCAAATATTATATCCAGTGTGTGTCAATGCAATTTTTATAATCCTTCTTATCCATTTGAACCTTAATATATATTAAGGACAAATATTGAATATTGATTTAATTTTATTAAAATAATATTGATGTATCTATATTTTGCAGCTGTCAGTTTATTTGAAAATGGCTATAAATGATAAAACCAAAAAACTAATATTAAAAATTTTTAGTAAATGTGTAAGTAAACTTTGTTTATATTGATAATAAAACTTACATTAATATTTAGTAAGAATCTTAATAATTATATATTACGTAATCGATAATTGATAAAGCGAAATCAGTTTATGAATATTAAAATGACTAAAGATAATATTTAAAAGATGTTTTATGTAAAGTAATAAAGTCTAAATTACAAAAGAAGATTGCTAAGAAAAAGAAGTCATATAAGTTACCTATCTATCAGAGTTCAAAAGATCCTCTGGCGTATAATAAGGATATGTTTGATAAAATATAAGCACTTTGTCATGTCTGTCTCAGATGATTGTTATTTGTCATGCTATCAAATTATTTCTTATTGCATCCTTATATACGATTTCTTGAACAAAGGATATTTATTCATGCTTTATATCTATATCAGTATAGATTATTTATATCCTAAGTAAAAGCATCAGATTTCAAATTTATATATAAATGTTTAACGACCGATATACATTATTTATTGAAACATTTACATAAAGATGTTATTTTAAAATTTCATTAAGGTATATTGGTATTAAAAAAGGTCACTTTGAAAACATCGAGGTAGGAAATTCTTCTCCATAAAACCTCGGACGCAATTAAGGCATCGTTAAATATTCAGTGTAACTCAATAATAAAAAATTAATTCTATTCGTGTTTGCGAAAATTTTTTAATTTAAAAACAGTAATAAAATGATAGATTTTAGTAGTTATATTCTTAGAATTTCTAGAATAATCCAAATATGTCATGTTACGTAACAATTTTAACTCATAAATCGACCACACCCCTGACACCGCATCTTACTGCTATCGGACACTGACATATGATAAGCGAAAGAGATTTCAATACGTCGTGCAATTAATTTATGTATGAAAAGCTAATTCATTTGTTTATTGAATGATTTACAACGGACAATCAGATTTTGACATCGTTTGGTGGGTTCTCTACATAAAAAAGACGGAATTAAAAAACGCAGTTTGTCGTGGCAATTAGTTGAATAATCTTTCTAATTTGTATAAATTTAATCAACTTCATCAAGCGCCACTGATAAATTTTTCATAGATAATTCTAACATAAAAGATAAAATTAATTCTCAGACGCGATGTGCAAAATGCATTTCAATTATCATATTCCATTACAAAACGTCCTGCAAGACAATTATCGAATTAAATGCAAAATGGATTCCTGGCAAACGAGTATAATAGGGCTGAGTGAATAAAACAATTAAACTGTTATGAGATAGAAAAGAGCTGTTCCTTTGAATGGAAATCACCGCGATACATAGATTTGCTTAAAATTTTTAAGACTATACAAAGAGCATCTTTTGTGTTTAAAATTGCAGATCATTAATATTCGAGAACTACTTCGAATCCTACTTGTCACGCGACTTTATGATTTCTTGATTCGTGATGTATTTGTTTGTTTTTTGTCTTTAAGTAGATATTACTATAGTTTTTGTTGAGTGTAATTTGTTGTTAATGTTTTATTATTTAATAATTACAACTCATTTTTTTTTTCAAATGAGAACAGGAATTTACTTTGAATTAATAAAAAAGTATGAAATTAAAATTACAATTTGAGAGTGTGGAAATTTGGTAAGAGTAAGCCTAGATTTCTAAATTTAAAGTTTGAATTAAAAAAAATTGTTTTTAATTACTTTTTCTGAATATCAGTTAAAAAGACAATTTTTATTATGTAGAGTGATGCTGTTTTTGGCTCTAAATCAATATTTATTAAAAATAAAACTAATATTTTCGGATATAAAACTACATACTCCTGAAATTTCGGGTACTTTGCAGTAATTCCAATCTCGTCTGTTCATATATTCTCCGAAATCTTAGATTTATTTAAATCAATACGAACGAATATTAGATATCATAATAATTAAATTATATAAGAAATTATTTATCTAATAATTGTTGGATTACATGAGATATTTAATAACCCAAAATAACACACAAACAATAACTTTTTATAAAGAGTTTGTGGTTTTGCTAAAGGAATTCAAGGTTCATGTAATCCGGCAACAAAAATTACCTGGAACCAGAATTTAAAAGGCCATTAAATATGTCTTCATTGATTTTTCGGGACTCCATATCATGGAGTTGTTTTGTTTATTTTCTTGAGTCTATTAAATATTGGTACATATAAAAAAAATAGAAAATGGAAGTACGTTATTTAATGAATAAATGTGGTTCTTTAATTTTAATTTCATTTTAGTCAGTTACTAAGTTTAATTAGAATTGATTCCTCCAAAAAACAGAAAAATTTGTAGACTAAACAGAAATAAGGTCTATGACTATATAAAAAAGTAGGTCATAATAACGAAGAAGATTCTTTAGTTGATTAATATGAATGTTTGAACAACAAGAACAACCTTCAACGAACCAAGGTAAAATGAGAAATGTGTAACATAATATTTCTAATTATCTATTTCTGTCCAAATCTTACCTGTTATAAAGCTTCGAAAGATCGAGATTATCTCAAACCAGTTTGTATAACGTCATCCGAACGTTGCTCTAACAACATTCCCATGTATAGATAATCTATGGTAATCTATGCTAATAATGAAAAAGGTTATATTTTTAGTTATGTTAATTTTAAAATAAATTATTTTTTTTTATATAAAAACCAAAACATTTGCTATAAACTAGCTTAAATGAAATCTTAAAAAAACTTGTATATAATATAGACAAATGAACAGAACTGTCTTAAATGATAGTAATTTTGAGGTCTTTGTAATGTAATGTAATCTTATACGATAAAATTTAATCATTTATCCTACAATGAATATTGTGATAAAAAATACTATTCCCTTTTAATCTACCTGGATTGTTAGTTTAATAGCTTTCGAGTCATCATCGACCTATCAGAGCCTACTGCTGAGCATAGCCTTTTCTCACATGGAGAAGGTTTGAGAATTAATCAACACGCTTGCTCACTACGGATTGGTGATTTCAAACTTATAATTGTGAAAATATAAGTCAAGGTTTCCTCACGATGTTTTCCTTCACTTTCTGAAACAATAATAAATTATTCATATGACTAAATAATGTTAAAATGATAACATACTTATCTATATAATCTTAATTCATAGTTTACTCTTATCACACAACTGGTTGTATACTTAATTATTGATTTGATTTCGTAGGTGAAACTAAAGATATATGACGATAATAAATATTGATGATATTATAACGGGGTTAAGAGTTACTGATAACCGCGTAATTGTAAACACTTAGATTAACTGCGTGTGTACATAGGTATCCGTATTGTATAAACATTATTTTATATAGCGTCGTTCCTAAGAAACTCCTAGGATCGGCTCATGAACTTAAAATTAAGATACAAAAATTAAAAGAACTCTTTAAACTTTTATTTAGATACAATTTTCTCAAGAAACACGTTTTATTTTAATTTTTTTAAAAGGAACAAAAAAACATTCGTTCATTTTTATGTCATGTCTTACAATTTTTAATGAAAAGAAAAGGAAGGAAACTATTAACATAATTAAGCTAACTATGAAGCATAACCCATTATTTGTAATAAAGGGTGAATAAATTAAATATTTTAACATTAAAATTTGTGATTGTCAATTTATTAGGAATTTAGCATGACTTTACAAATACTATTTATACATAATACAAATAATGTACATGGGCTGTAGAATAATTGTCAAAAGCCTTCTGTCTGCATATATATATATGTGGTACTTATATGCAGTCCAATTAAAGTCATTAAAGCGGCTTACCGTAATAATATAGGAGTTGTAGGGTAAAAGCTTTTGTGGTTTCTTAAATGTAAAATTCAGATAAAAGTTTGTTTATTATTTACCATGAAACAAATGGACTTAATAATAAAATTATATTCTTTCAAATTTCATATTAATATATTTTCGTAAACCAAAACTTTATTTTCATCTCATATCTTATGTATTTACTTGTACTCATAGTCCTCCTTATCTTATTTTGTAATAAATATTGTGTTAATAAATATCGATAACATCACTTAATTTTCAAGGTCATTCAGCTATAAGTCAACAGTTATGTGGATATATTTATTGTTATAAATATGTATATATTGTCGTAATAACATAAACTTATTATTTATACTACCCGATGCTGCCACCTTTGCCCACATAGTACCACCCTTGAGATACTCATAACCACCCTAATGAAATTTAATTCGATTCCTCGAAGATAACTTCGTCTGGTCCTTACTAGATGATAATGCTTACATTATACCTTTAGCGTAGTGGATTTTCGATCAAATGAATCATTTAAAAACGGACTTTAATGGAGGGAACAATATTTTAACACACATATGTATCATAGTAAAATGAAGAACGTAATCATTTTTGAAGTCTGCTAAAAGATAGTATAACGATACTTCTGACGATATTATATATGCGCGGGTAAACCCCCTTCAAAATTAGTCTGACTGTTCGGGTAATTAGCCGGAACACACAGAGGGATACAAAAAAAACAAAAAAAATTACAACTTCATATTTGATGTACGTAAAGTATATCCTATATAAAGGTTACTAATTAAAATAAACGGAAACATAATATTATTTGTAAGTGTAGTGCATTGTTGAAATTTATATCACAGACTATATTATATATACAGATATTACTGGTGCAACTACGAGTGAAAAATAAACGAATGGATATTAAATATCATCTATGAAATATCTTTTCGTCTGTGTAACAATTTTTCATTTGAATTATAATTTAAAATGTACTAATAATTTTCGTTCAAAATATAATAAACCCTCGTATAATCCATTGACCTCTTCAAGTATTGTTATCTCCACGATCAAGTACAGATAATAATCTTTCATTTTACCAAAAGATTTTTCAATGAAATTATCGGTAAAGTTAGTGTGACTGTTGGTTTAGATTGCTAAATAAATATCGTTAACAATAATATTTTATATATGTTCATACATATATAGAAACATATAGATATCTATTAATCATGTATTGACGATTGTTTTTTTATTTAAAGTGTATGTTAAATAATGAGTAGTCTTGTCTTTCCTAGGATTATTTTATAATTTAACAGGTTTTTTTATTCAGATATATTGTCATAGACATTTCAGTGATAGACGAACAGAAATATATAAGTACTAGTAAAATTTGCTTAATGTATATTAAAAGAAGTCTTAAAAGTATTTATATTTTTAGCTGAAGATTTGGAAGTGCTCCTGGATGAAGTAGTTCGAGCTAGTAATCGTGGAGTATCTGCATCAAGAAACGTGAGCGGTGGACCAAACTGGAGTTTCGGGCAATCCCTTTTCTTTTCATCCACCGTTGTTACTACTATTGGTAAGTAGTATAAATTATTATATTTTTTCCAATACGAAAAATAATTATAATGTCTTTTGTGTAATTTTGATCGATGTCTAAATAAGTTAATTTTGGATAATTTCGTAAAATAATAAGGTAATTTTAAAGTATCAATCGTAGTTTTTAACAATATTAGGTAAGTAAATTGATGATTATAATTAAGACGTCGTCTGCAGATGTTTCCTTTCATAATATAATTTAGTAGACATCATTTTAGCTTTGCTTAATGATGAGATATGTGCTGGCTTTAACTATGAGACTGGTAATAAAGGGAGCGAGCAAAACTTTGTTCCCGACAACTAATTTAATTAACTCATGTTTCTACCATTTAAGTTTCCTTATAATGAATTCGTGTATAATATGTTTAGAAATGCCAATATAGGATTAACTTACTTAGTAAAAACTTACACAGAATTTCTAATGTTTTATTATTTCGATGTGTTTCGTAAGTCCTTAATATAATACCTAAATTTACCTTTTTCAATTTTATTTTTCAGGCTATGGTCACGTTACTCCACTGTCTAAGCCTGGCAAGTTGTTTTGTATAGTCTATGCACTTCTTGGTATACCCCTGACTCTGGTGTTGCTATCAGCTCTGGTGGAAAGACTTCTGCTACCAGCCACTGCCTTGCTGAGATCATTGAATGCTGCTCTGGGCCATTTGTATCGACCCTTTACTATACGTCTAGTTCATCTCATGATCATTGGTTAGTTTTTATACAGTATAAATAATAATAAAAATTCAGGGATGCTAACATATTTGCGAACAAAAGCTATTAATAAAAAAATAATCATAATCATATACGAAGTCTTCTACTTTTTTGTATATTTAAGTGTTGCTATTGCATAAAGAATGTCCAGTTATTTACTGTGTATCTGGCTTTTTGTACTTCCAGTCATGATCCTGGTAGTATTCTTCCTAATGATTCCGGCCGCGATTTTCGATTCGCTTGAGCCGGAGTGGGACTACCTGGACTCCTTTTATTACTGCTTCATTTCCCTCACCACTATCGGGCTTGGGGACTACATACCTGGTGACTATCCAGACCAGCCATATCGTCCCCTGTACAAGGTTGCTGCTACCTGTAAGTTTTATTTCATTATATTAGTATTACCTATGTAATTCAATTTAAATTACGATTTTTTCAAGTTATTGGTTGTTTTATCAAAAAACCATCTTTTGTCGTCAATTTATGAGAGATTAGTTATAATTTTAGTCTGTTTGTTATGCGTCCGTACACAATTTAATTCAGCTTTATTCCATATATAAATTTAAAATTTCTTAAATTTAATTTTTCAATTTTTTTATTTCAGTTTATCTAATCATCGGTTTGACGTTCTTGATGTTAACGCTGACCGTCTTTTATGATATACCGCAACTGAATCTCAGCACCGTTTTCTCATCAATGAAGCTGGATGAAGATCCTGAGAAGATGCGTTTAAGTGGTTCTGGAGTGATGGGGCCTGGATATGGAATTGGAGGTTTGGTGATGAGAGATGATTATAACCACCATGACCAGCGACGTTCAGTGGTTCATATTCGACCTCATTTGGATGACAGCCCCAGCCCTGAGGACACTACACCAGTTCATGCAAGGGATATCCGAGTACATTAAACAGTTTATATGACAGGCCTAAGCTATCCGAAAAAGTAAAACACATTTATGAGTTTATCCAATTTATTATTACAGTTAGTTGAGGCTTATTAATGTGTCACTTTTAGTAATCGTAATCAAAATATGTGTTATAATAGTAGGTGTGACAAGTATTTGAAAAAATAGGTAATCTAATGCCTTTTTCAACATGAAAGCTAAAAAAAAATTACCCCTAAATCAATATCTAAAAAGTTTTGTTCAAAAGTGTTTCCAATTGTAATATTGAAAATATTGTAGATTTCATAGATTTTTTTTGTAACTGAGTGCATATTTGAATAGAAAAATTAAAATATCGCTTTTTTGGCAACCGTCCTTCGATTGATTTTATCGTAAGTAAATATCAGTTTCTGGCATGAAATGACAATTTTTGTTTGAAAAAAAAAACGAACGAAGTTCGTTGTAAGACTGAGGAGGTTTTAAAATTTTCTCATTTTTCTATTTCAATTTATAGAAATCTATATAAAGAAATTTATGAAAACGTCACGAATTTCGATTTTTATTTAAATCTGACTGAGAAACGTATCCCTCTTTACTGTATACGTTTTAAAACCTGCTGATGGCATCCTTCAGACCTTAATCGGCACTAAATTTTAAATGTAATGCAACCTTTAATAGACATAAGTACAAAAAATATTGGAAAAATCTATATTTATATAAATTTAATCTTTGACGTATCAATTGTGTGTGATAGATGACCAACAGTATAGTTTTTCATATATGCGTAGAACATGTATATGTAGAGCGTAGAAAATTATATTGTATGTGATTGTATAACCGTTTATCTAAAATGTGTCAATATCTAAATGTTTATAGATACGAAAAAAATGTGTAATCATATATCTTTTACATTAAAATTAATACACTCAGCTTTGAGAATTTGTGCTAAGTATCGTAAGTTTGTTTTATAAAAAAAATCTTAGTTTTCTTTAATTAGTTCTTGAATATTTGTTATTAAACCGTTGAAAGCCATTTTACGATTTGTTAACAAATGTGGCTGTGACACCACATTACTTATATTTAAATTTTATGTTGCAAAATTTTAGATGCTATATTAAATCTATGACAATATTATAAAAGCTTATGACAAAATAAATTCTCTAATGAAGAATATATTTTTTATGGAATTCAAAATAAACATTTTAATATCTATAGAATATTATAACTGATTTGCTTATTCAAAGTATTTATGAAGTAGGTTCAAAAAGATTCGAAATTCCTAGTAGATAAACCACTATTAAACAAGTGATACATTGTTGTTAGTAGTGTTGCAAAAACTATGTATTATATATCACCTATAATGTACCTCTAGCAAAAACTTACAGGGAATTTAAGTTGAAAATTTATATATCAATCATTGTATAATATAATTGATCAAAAATATAAGCTAATAATTTCATAACAAAAATTTCTACATTATTTACCTACATGTTACAATGTAATTGTCTTCAAAGTATATAAATATATGGTTAATTAATATTTATTTACATACTTATACGAATAATTAGAAATTAGAATGTAAACTTTATAAATCTACAACACTGAATAGCTGTATTATATGTCGTATTTAAAACATGTATTGATGCAATTAAAATAAACTCGATTAAATTAGTGTTTTTTTTGGACGAATCTCATGCAATCAATTATTGTTTATTACAGTTCCTTTCTATATTTACTTTCCTTAGCAGCTAAAACGCATATAACGCCTTATTTGTAAGTTATATTAAAAAGTTAATTTTGCTTTAGAAGGTTTTAGTTGTATCAATTTTTTTTTTGAATTTTTACGCGTATTTGGTGTTACATTTGAATTTAAATAGAGAAGCTGGAGATAATAGCCATAATATATCACAATTATCTTCTAAATATTGTTTTTAACTTTAGTCAGTATATTTTATCTGTACATGCATTCTTAAAAATATTTATAATAACTACGTTGCTTTTATATTGATATAGCTTACGGGATTGTTGCAACAGAAAATTTTATAAACAGAATGCATACTTTTACCTATGTATAATAAAAAGGAGATGAATTTTAATATTTAATAGCTTTAAAGTGAAGGAATACCACAAATAAGTTTTAGAAATCTAGAATAGACCTAAGATTTATTTTTAAAATAACTAATAATAAGACACTAGATACGGTCATGTTTCCTTTATCTTACAAAAACCTTCTATCCATTTACTATCTTCTATCTAACTACTACAATCAACTAAGTTAAAAAAAAAATTGATGAAATAGTTAAAGTTTTAAAGTGAACAAAAAATGTATGGAGAAAAATACTGCATATAAAAAAATAATCACAAGTAAAATACATAAGTGATCTTTTAAGAGATTTGTAAATTTTCAAAATAATTAGCTACACCCATTTCACAAATAACATAATTTTTTTCATGTAAAATTATTTAAAAGGATTTCGTTTTAATTTTATAATAAAATATACATATAAATAATATTAATAATATGTGCTGTATTGATTAGGGTTATGAGAATATTTGTTGTGTTTTTATTCATGTTATCATCTGTAGTATACAACAAAGTAATTATGGGCTAAATCGTTTGGCCTTCTTGTGAATCCCATAAAATAACAAGCTATAATTGTTGGCAGCAGCAGGCTTAGAAGCAAACTAGACTGGGGGCTAGTCCCCAAACTAGTTTATGACGGGGTTCCAATTTCTTACTGCGAGTCAGTAAGGAACTTAGGACTTATTATTGACTGCAATATGTCCTGGGTAGCCCAAGTCAATGATGTTAGCAAGCGGATACACTACACTTGCCACTCTCTCAAACGTCTCCAATACTTTCTCCCTTTCAGCACAAAAATTATGCTAGCGCAATCTCTTCTTCTACCGATCCTCGACTACGCTGATGTGTGCTATTTGGATGTGACTGAGGAGCTACTTAATAAATTAGAGCGTCTTCAAAACCTGGCTATTCGGTTTATTTATGGCCTACGTAAATATGACCATATATCTGCATTTTGTACTCAACTTAAATGGCTCCCTATCCGCCTTCGCCGTGATATGCACATCCTTTCGGTCCTTTTTAATATTCTTAATGATCCAAATTCTCCTTCTTACCTTCGCTCCCGTTTCAACCTTCTCCCGCCTCCAACATGTTCCAGACGTTCCTGTATTACTTCAGAGTTAGAAGTGCCCAGAAGTAATACAAAGTTTCTGCATGACTCTTTTTTTGTACGTGCAGCGAACCTCTGGAACAATCTCCCAAAAACCATACAAAAGAGAGAATATATATATATATATATATATATATATATATATATATATAATATTTATATATAATATAAGTATTAAGAGCATCTCTAATTGCACAATTATTACCTGCTGTACACACTAACTCTTACAGCTGTGGGTTGGCTGGAAGAGATTTCTTATAGAAATACGCCCGCCTTTGTCAACATTAATTCTGTATTTAAAATAACCATGTAATTTTTATTTTTTTTACTGTGCAATAAAGAGTATATATATATATTATGCAATAGGGCTATTCTATTACAAAGTTAGGAAGAAAAAAGCTTGTTAATAACGTTTTTAAAGCCTTTCAAAAAAACTGTGCATTTACCATACACCTGTTCGGCGGAATTCATGGCTTTTTAAAAATACTGTCAAAGTTATGGGTCCACGAAAACATCTTATTTTTGATGAAATTACAGTAATTTACACGTTATGTAAATTAGAATTTTAATCTTTGCTATTAGTTACATGAAAAAGTTCTTAGGTATGCAAGCGTTAAATGTTATTTAAAAATAATGAAATAAAGATTATAAGCAGCGATGATTTTATTTCTTTAGTATCAATTCAAATTGGGGTAAAAAAGTTGTTTGGCACTCTTTTTTTCTAAGGACAATCTTCGATTCTGTTATTGGAATATTTTGAATTTCATTGGTAAAGTCGAGAAGATTATATTGGCAAAATGAATGCTGTCATAGTTGATTATCATATGTGCTCATGATATGCAATTTTTCATCACTAATAATAGACAGATCGGGGGACAGATTGTCGTACTCGTGTCGAATGTTATCATTGAGGATTTTCCAGAATCCCAGGCTTGTTCACACAGGTTCACGGTCAGCGGCTTTTTCGAAAGAAAATGGCTGGATGACTCCTCCAACCTAACCAGTCTCTTTGAACGGGCACTTTCTTTGAATGGGCGTAATAGCTACTCGTGCATCACTCGTGGATTTTCAGTGTCCCAAAAGCAATAGTTTTGCTTGTTCACATTCATGCTGGGGTGGAAATGAACCTTATCGTTCCTTTTGATTTTGGTCCACAAATCGTCCACTTTTCCCTCGAGCTAGAGGATGGCTTGGGCGTGGTGACTGGACTTTGTACAGGAACATGTGCAAATATTTAACCAAAATTTACCTTAGGGACGTCCGGCTGATGGCTAATGGCATGCACAGTGTTCGGTCTATGTTTCTGGCAACAGACCGATAGCCTCGGCAATAGCATTGAAATTCCCGGCAGACGGAGCGCTCCGGGGCTAGCCACTCTTGGCAACGTTCTTGTGAGGTTCCATATTTTTCAAGGTTGGTGGCTAAAGGCCCAGTGTTTGAGAAATCAGTGTCAGAACTATTCCAACACTACAGAATAGTTATGCAAAAAATAGACATGATTATTCTGTAAACAATACCGTTCCCTAGCTGGTCCACTTGTATTCTGAAACTGTCTATTCCACAAATGACAAATCAGAATTGACATTGGCGGCCATTAGAAAAAATGAGGATGAATTTTTTTTCCCACCTTGTATGAATAAAAACATAAAAAAATCCAAATTTTATGAGTAAAATTAAAATTAAATTATTGAAAATAAAACAAAATTATACAGATATCATTGATTAGAAGGTGGTGTATATAAAAATGCTCGATGAGTGGAAAAATATTTAACAACGCGTTGTGGTCATAATAAATCGGCATAGCAAAAATCGTGTCATCGCTCTAATAAAAACGCATACGACGCGTTGTGGCAATAACAGAAAGACCAAATAGCGAAATTCGTCTCGAAGCTTACATGCTTTTTGATCTTAATGCTTTGTGCCAGTGAATTAGAGCCATGATGCGATGCCTTGGTTACCCTTTTCAAAATTCATTATGTCTTGATAGAAGCGTTCCACTTTTTCCTGAATAGGCTACATTGTTTTAAACTATATCATCAAACGATGAAACAATTCGCAATCATCTCAGTGGTCAGGTCATCTTAATTTTTAGAATTATGATTTTAAATTTGAACTTTGAATTGTTCTAGTCTTTTAGATTTTTATTACCAAGTAAATTTAGGCAAATGGGAAATTTAGACAACATAGCAGCTTTATTATATTTTCGGATTGACAATTGCTTCCCATTCATTGTTTTTGACAGGATAAAGTTTTAATTGGTAGTGTGCTCCGACTTTTGTAAAGACTAAGATACTTGTTAAAAATTATAACCTTGAAGTCTCAAATAACTAACAATTCGTCTTCCATATACAAGTATGTTATTGCAATAAGTAATATTGTTATTTGGTCGTGATCTTTTTAAGATGTATTGAATTGACTAATCTATTTGGTGGAAAATTGTTTTCATGGTGTAATAGAACATATTATCGACTTTTTGTTAAACTATCAAGTAAATGATTCTATTCGTATATAACAGAGTTGGGATATTTAAACTTTCAATTTAGATTAATTACATTGATTTAATCGTTACCCTGGTAACTTTACTCTTGTACTTGTACTATTTGAAAGATTTAAGTATCTTATTAAGTTTCCAAGAATTTTAGAGTTGATGAAGCAGTAAGATATATTTGTGATTCGAATTCAAGAACAAATTCGCAGTATATAAATGTAGATAAAGTCAGTAAGAGGTCGCTGCGTTGAGAGATTAGTTGATTTTCTTACTTATTTTTTAATACTACTATTAGTTTTGTAGTAAGTAGATGTGTAGTATTTCGTATTTATTTATTGGAAACATAACTTATATTGATAACAATAGAATATCCTTAAAAAATACCTCTCGAGGGCTACCACTAAAAGTAAGTAAATATCGTTGATCACAATCTTAATTCTAATTTGTTAAAAATTATTTTCTACCCCTCAAATTGTTTTTCTGTTGAAGATTGTTTTTTTAATAATTTGAATTATAAAATTAATTCATTGTAATGAGTTTGTAAACAGCGACTGAGTTTGGTAAGCTTCCGCTGAAAGCTTTTTTAATTTTATGAATATTTACTTCTTACTTTAATAAATCTAACTTTTAAAATTGAAAAGATAATTTGTTAATCATGCCATAAGTATATATTATGTATCAAACAACAAAGGCACCATAATAATATATGTGATATACAAGAAAACCAAATTTTTAGAGAAATTAAATTGTTATTATGTTGATATTCAGATTGTGTATAAATTTCTTAACAAAAACATTCTTAGCAATATTATTAACTATGCATAATTTCTACGGGATTATGATGACATTGTAAAATTTTTGAGCAGTTATTTATAATTAAGGCTTCCAAATTATTGCATTTCGATGACCAAGTTGTTTTTCAGAAAAACTCAGATTTTGTAATGACTTATTGTGGATAACAATTTTATTACAATACAGGAGATAATAAAAAAAATATGAGTATATGGTGTTTTCGTTCTTTTGTTATGGTTTATTCTAATAGTACACTATTAAGTTATTTTATTCAGTTTTCTAAGAAAACGACAAACAGACAGTAGAGTACAGACGACTGTTTTATGAAATGATTTTTAGAAATACAATTAAGTGTTATTACTTATCATGCTATAGTCTAACGCACTTGTTTAAATTTTACTTCCTATCTCGGTTGAATTTCTAATTTCATAAAAAGTACATTGTTGTTTTAAAACATTTTGTATCATTCTAAATACAAAAAAAATACTCACATCGGTTAACTTGTTTTCGCATGATAACTAATAAACTCACATACATGAATATGCCCACGTCGCTGTGTGCATACGCCTAAAAACACTTGTTATATTTTATAAATAAAAAGTAATCATATCTGTAGTTTTACGAAAGTGAACAAAACGCCAACCTATTAATAGGCATCTATCTTTGCTAATATGTTAATTCCTCTGTGTATTTTGTGCCGCTTTAGTTGTGTAGTAATTATGAGATTGCTTGATTCTCAATTAAGAATACTATCAAAATTAATGTGATATTATTTTTATGTTAAGGAATAATGTTGGTAATTTTATCTTCATATTAAGTAACATCCTGCTTAACTGACATATTATTATGGGAGATATATGTATATACTCGTATCATTACAGATTAATTTATTATTACGATAATCTAGGACGTGGTTTCATAACATTTTTTATATAAAGTTTTGCTTAATTGTGGTATGAATTCGGAAGTAGTCAATGTACATGGACACTGTTTGAAGTTTCATGAATTCTGATGAATTTATGAAATCAATAGTATATTTTTAGATTTTTGAATACTTCTATTTTGTAACATTTCTGAAAATGTATATTAATAAATTAATATCTACTAATTCAGAAAATACAAGATCTTTATTCGTTTCTCAAATAAATAAGACTAATTGCGTTAGCTGAAATATAATTTTCTTTAAAGAGACATCAAAAATAGAATCTAGCGTTTGGGAGGTCATCGTTTAGTTTTTTTTTTTATAAATATACAAAGTAAAACTTTAAGAATTTAATTTAAATAATTTATAAAATGGTCAGTAATTCTGAGTACTTAAAATCTGCCTATATGAAAAGGAAAGCTCTTTAAATGACTTTATGTCAAATAAAACTTATTAGAATACAATTTATTAATGATTCGACTTAAGTATAAACCTAAATATCTTCGGAACTTAAACTAATCCTAAACTTAAAGTCCATTAGAATCTTAAAATGAGTGTAAACAAGTTAATTTTTAAAAGAATATGCTGTTAATATATAAATCCATCAATTTAACTTCTTCTTTCACAAAAATAAACATTGTTATGTTTTAAATTAAAATGATAAAGACTCAACTATAAAAGACTTAACGAATGTTAATACACAGATTGACCTTTTTATCTGATCTGGGTTAAACTCAATTTTCATTTTACGAATCAGTTGAATCACAAATGAAATTAATTATGAGTGTATTTTAAAGTGATACTATTATTATCAAATATAATATTCACTTACTGATGCATAAAATCAACATGTTACTTTATTATGTAATTAATTTTATTGCAACTGAACTTATAATTGAAATTAATTTACATACATATAACTTTACATATGACTATTTGTTGATAAACACTAATTAAAGATAATTAATTAGAGAAAAGTGAAATAAGAGAGTGGTTTCATACTCAAAAATACAAAATTTCCAAAATTTAACAATCACAACTAAGTACTTCTGATATTACAGGTTAGATATACTAACATAATCGCCAGAATTATCTATTAAAATAGTTATTAGGATCGACTAATGATGATCATTATCAAATATAGATCTCTATTTAATTTTTTAAATAGAATTACATATTTATGTTTCACTTATAAGTAGATAGTGTTGTACAATTTTACAAACAATTATTCCAACTGAAAAGAATTAATGGTAGAATTTTGAGAGTATAATAGCAGAAAGGGGAAGAAATTCAAAAGACTGAAATAAGAAAGGCTATTATATTTGAAATTAAGAGACTAAATCGGTAGTTGGTTGTAATATCTGTATGTGAATGTGATAATAATTACTTCTATCTGGCATATGAAGGTAAAGTTTAGTTCAGTAATTGTTTAGTTATATAAAAGTAATCCTTTTTTAATTTAAACTATTTAAAATCAATTCGTTCTAATTAAATTATTATCGACACATCTAGCCTCAAAAGTGTTAGGATGTTTTTACACTATGTATATAAACATATTCATAAAAATCTGTTTTCGGACACTACGCCTTTTTTTGTTATCTTATAATTATATATTTAATCCTACGAAAACTTGTCATCTCGTTTGCCGGTAGTCACTGTTGTTTTAAAGGAACCGACAGTGATTAGGTAGTTATAACTAGATTACAAATAGTATCCGAAAAGTGTACTTTCATTTTAATAAGTAATATCGAAAATCTCACATATAATTATATAAAAGTAGATGACTACAGTAATATACCATTTATTAAAGTTTTGATCCCTTGATACGTTACGTATACTTCAGCATAATAACACTGGTTTTTATCCAAGATTCTGTAGAGTTATAATGTGGCTAAAGTAAACTGACAGCGTTCCCGCTTGTTTTTCCATCGAGAGTAATACTATTGTAAAGTAGGATACCTAAAATTATATGCTCTTTCGTTTGTGAAACACCACAAGCATTTTTCACTTCAATGAATTTAGAATCTTAAATATATAACAGAGAGAATATTTAATAATTTTTTGCAATAAATTACAGAAGGATTGGCAAGGAGCACAAATAAAGATGGAGACCTTTGTTTTTTATAACTTTGGAAAAACAGTTGTGGCGAAACTCTTTTTATTGTAAAGTTACAAATACATATATATTTATTAGAAATATTTATATATTAACTATTAAAAATCTATATGTAGATATAATCAAGAAGTTACAAAAGTACTGAAAAATATATTTTTATGCTTACTAACAGGCAACTTCATTAAATATAAATATGTAAAACTGTATTTGGTTTAGCTGTGAAACAATTTATCTTCTATTAAAAATTAATATCTTTTTTACTGCAAGCTAATTTGGCACAAAAGAAAAAAATCTTTATGAACATTGCAAAGGGTACAAACATGGTAAAAGGAGACGTTTTTAAAGATATATTTTAATTTTCGTCACGGGCTTCAAATAAAAAATAAAATATATATCAAAGGCGCAATAGTCAACAGCGATATTTCTCTCAGGAGCCGTCAGTAAACCTCGATCCGTGCTCTTGAACGAACGCTACAATGTGACTAAACAAGTGCGTTACTGTTCCCGAACTTAATTATAAACAAGATATTATGAGTGACTCAGAGAAAAGTTATTATTGAAACAAGTAAGAAATGTGGATGACGCTCCCGAAAATGATGTTGTTACTTTTAACAACTGCTTTAATTGCTTGTAAGTTATGAAAATGTATTGTTTTTAATTTGTTAACGTTACTTGATTCATTTTTATTATATAGACATTTGCATTTTTGTTTTACATTAAATTTCAGTACTTGAACGTTTTAATTTATAATTAATAACAACCATTAATTAAGTTTTACGAAATATTTTCATAATTTTATAAAATAAATGAGACAAGGACTCAAATTATTTGAAATTTTTAAGATTTTTGTATTACTATGACGACGAGATTCAGTTTTTTAGTGACAAAATACAAGAAATATTTAATTCAATTATGTGTTATCATATAATTCATGATTCAATAGACCATGATTTATGAACTATTTATGGACATAGGCATTAAACTTATTAAACGGCTATCTTTTAAATTATCCTATAAAACCAATAACAAAAACACTTTATCGTTCTCGTCCGGTAATCCATAAAGCTCGGATAAAACACACTGAGTAAAACAACGTACTAAAGATTTCTTTAGGTATTTTGTTAACACTGTAATCTTGACAATGGAATTACTATGATGGTTTTTATATTTTTATATTGTATAACATTTTCATATTTTTGTATTGTAAATACTTATTAATTATTAAAGTAAATTTTATTGAAATTTGGGTTACTAACCTACTTTTACTAAACCAGTTATCCTAACAAATAATGTCTATTAACACCATGCTTCTTTAATTAATTTTATTACAAATTATTTGGTTACTTCGGAATAAATGCAAAACATTTCATTTAGTATAAATATAGGATAGATTATATTACACTAATGCCTTTCAATGTCAGACTTAAAATCTTTTACAGCATACTTCTATTGTTTATTTTTTATTATTTTTTTTTTTTTTATTTATTTTGTAGAACACCAACAAGAATACACACCGGGAACATTTTAGACACATGGATATAAAAAATTTATACAGGAGGCATCTTAATTAGAGGTGAAAACAGCATGCGTATGTAAGAAAAAAAAAAAAATAACGAAACATAACAATTAGGTAACAACAAGCAGAAGAGAAATTAAAAAATAACTAATTAACTAACAAACAATAAACTGAGACAAAAACAAAAACATAAGTAAAACAATCTAACTAAACTAAACTAAATTAAACTAAACTAAACTAAATAATTTGAGAGTATAGGGATAATAATTTGTTCTTAAATTTTCTAATGCTACCGAAAATATCCAGATCATTATCCCCGCTCAATGAATTGTAGGCACTCATAATTCTATTGAGCGGGGAGTAATGACCCAAATTAGACTTAGAAATATGCTTGGAAAAAATCGCGCGCTTGCAAGTGCGCAGTGATTTGGAAGGTGCAGATACATGAATTCTCGATAATAGGTCTGGGCAATCCAGAGCGCCATTAATCAATTTATACATGAACATGTTGTCCAACAAGCGTCTTCGATCGGCAAGGGTGTTCATTCCAAAAAAGGCCATTCGATCGTTGTAATTTGGGAGCTTTTTTGCCAAGCCGAACTTGAAGCAAAGATGCCATAGGAACCGTTTCTGGATGCTTTCTAACCTCTTGGCATAGACATCGTAGTGCGGGTTCCACACTACGCTGCCATACTCAAGTCCGCTACGGACAAAAGCGTTGTACAATGTGATCAAAGTCGAAGGATTTTTCAGGTTACCACAATTGCGCAAGATGAAGCCAAGACTTTTAAATCCCTTTGAGCAAATGGAATCAATATGAGTGTGAAAACGTAATTTTTTATCGATAATGATGCCTAGGTCACGAATCTCAGACAATTCTCGTAAATAGACATTTTTAAGTCTATATGATCTTTGTGGAATGGATTTCAATCTGCTGAAACTGACCAGATGACATTTGCTAACATTGAGACTCATTCCGTTTTTGTCACACCAGTTACTTAATCGATTTAAATCGCTCTGGAGCAATTCAGCGTCGTTTGGGGAGGAGATGATACGAAGAATTTTAAGATCGTCAGCAAATAAAAAATAATTGGAATTACAGAAACAGTCGCATATGTCGTTAATAAAAATGTTAAATAATATAGGACCCAAATGAGACCCTTGCGGTACTCCAGAAAGTGTTTTAAATGGTTTAGATTCATATCCATTGACTACTATTGTGGATTCCCTATTGTCAAGGTAGGATTTGAACCAGTCGAGCAAACGACCGACGATACCATATTCGGATAACTTTTTGAGCAACAAAATATGGGGAACCTTGTCGAATGCTTTACTAAAATCAGTGTAGATGACATCAACAAGCTGGCGCGAATCGACTGCAGTGGTAACAAGGTCGGTAAAAGATATCAAATTTGTCGACGTCGATCTACGACTGAAAAAACCGTGCTGAAATGGAGTAATAACCTGTTTGAAATGCCATTCTAACACAGTATATACTATTTTCTCCAAAATTTTTGCAAATGTAACGAGAATAGAAATCGGTCTATAATTGCAGATAATTTCAGCATTTCCATTCTTTAGTAGTGGGACAATTAAAGATTTCTTCCAGGCTGACGGAAAAGTTCCTGTAGATAAAGATTTGTTAAAAATGATGGAAAGGGGATATGCTAATGCAGATGCGCATCTTTTAACAAATATTGCAGGTATACCATCTGCTCCTGCACCTTTATGGGGATCCATTCTTTTTATAACATTGAGTACCATAATTGGAGTGACACAGATGTTACAAATGTTGTTAACCGTTTTGTCACCTATCGAATTAGGCGAGTCGTGCGAGTTGGCATTATCCTCGCAGAAAACCGATTTGAAGTGTCTCGCAAATAAGTTGCAAATATCAGGGCCATTGGAAGCAGTATCATCATTCAGAGTCATTTGAGCCGGATACATACTATTATTTGTTTTTTTCTTTTTAAAAAAGGACCAGAAAAATCTTGGATTAGATCGTAAAAGAGACTCCAGGCGTGTTCTATATTCCTTATAACTAGCCGACATCAAAATTGCACATCTCTTTTTTAACAGCGTAAAAGTTAATTTGTCTAAAGGATTATTGTTATAAGCGCGCAGTTTCATCCTAAATTTATATTTCTCTTTTAATGAGTTTTTTAGAGTATCATATTCATTACTTAGGAAGCTTAATGATTGATCAAAAACAGAAATTTGGTTTTTGATTTCCAATAATTGACTATTGAGAGCAGAGCGTAATTCATCCCGTATAATTTCACGAATACTGTCGGCGGAAATACATGAGCAGTTAGTGGAGGACTTCGACTTAGTGCGTAGAGTAACGTTTTCATATACCTGAGCACTACTGAGAGTGGAAGTAGAACGGATCGGTGTGTTAGTGTTGTCTCTCTTAGGTTCCTTACAACGGCACGACGGACATATCCACATTGCCTTGAATTCGCTAGAGAAAGTATCAAATTTAGTAGTCGATATATTGAGGCAACCGTAATGATACTTATCAAAACATCGCGAGCAATGCATTGCGTCATCCTCTTTTAAATCGTGCGTACAACCAGAACATTTGCTTAAAGGCATTTTTGCTAATTATTATAATACAAAAAACATGTAAATATATTTTCGCCGTGGCTGGGGATCGAACTCGGCTTCGTCGCTGGTTTACGCCGACTTGAAACCTCAAGACCAAGTGATCGTTAAGTCTGCGTGCGAATTTTACAAGTATATGGTAGTAGTGAACCCCAGCTGTCAGGAGGTCAACGACCGGGAACAAAGAACGTCAACGTTAACAACTAACGAGTTGTGATCACCGCCACATTACACTAAACAATTATATTTAATTTAGACCTATCGTATCATTATTTGTTGTAGTTCGGATTCCAAACTGTTCACTGTTCTATAATTATTCACTGTTGAACGATAAAGATGACAAATATCTATGAAAACTGAGCACTAATCACATTTGTAGGAGACGACTAGATACACTTTTGATTATTGTATCACACTTTCGTATTAAACTTATACAAACAATGTTTAGTATTAGATTTATTGTATTCATCAAGGTACTGAAGGTTCATTCAATGATGGTCTCGGAATTTCTCTAAAAAATATAAGATAAATATTATACTTAGCAAAAATATATGTAAAAACATAAAATATTCTAAACTAGTTTTACACGATACACTCTTAGTATTTCAAAGTTACTTAACTAGTTGAAGTGGCAATTAACTGATCCCTTGCAGTATGGTACTTATGAAATAAATTTATCACGAGTTGATGAAAATTTTCTATTTCATAAAGCTTTACAAAGTTTTTGATATATTTCCTTTATTATTATCTTTCTTTAATATGTCTCAATATCCAAAATGCGAGTAAAAAAAAAACAGGGCTATAGTTATGGTTCCGTGAACAAAAACTAATTTAATTCACTAGTAATTGATAAATAGAATACTGAAATCAATCTATATATTATTTAATGAAAGTTAACTGAACCAACTAAAATATATAAAATTTATATATTTCAGTCAACCCCTTTGAGGAAAGCATTGATTTATTGTAACAAAGTGAAAAATATTTTAATTGTCCTTTGATACTACGTATTAACAACATAAATTTACTATTGTCCGTGTAATAATTTCATAATTTTGAATCCTACAAATTATATTTAAATTAAAAATGAGAATTTTCTATTTTCTCATGTGGTGTTAGGACTGATTTGACCTCATTGGGGACAGCTCAAATGTTCGTCTGCTTCATAATTTATGTGAAGTTGATAACTTCATAATTTATATGATGTTTGAAGAGCATTCTATAAATTTTGAAATTCATAATGGCCAGACATTCGAACAAAAAACGAACAAAAAAAAGTCAGCTAGTAGGTGGAGAACTATTGAACTCATTTTATACAATAAAAATATATGTATAAAGTGGTAAAAGTCTTTAAAATTAAAACCACATAGATGAAAAGAATATGACAAATAAAAATATTTATATTTCACAATGTGATAATCCATGGTTACTAAATTAAACTTGTTAATTCTAATTGTCATTCTTATCTTTATTATATCTATATACAAAAAAACATTTAGTCTACAACGGACAATGTATGTTTAGCTCAGGAAACAGCTCAAATATGTATAAAAACAGTCTATAATCGTTATTTGATTCATATAAAAATATATTTACTACTCGTCAATATGCGTGATATATATGCGAGACAAATTTAACGTTATTAATTATTATACAGATAGTGGCAGTGCTCTAACAAGCGAGGATAGTTGCGATCCTAAAGATCTGAAGCTGTGTGTTGATGCTACACCACGAACGCAAGTTGGTCTCCCTCGAAACAAGGAAGAACTGGATAAACACTGTCTGTAAGCAATTTAGTGTCATTATTTCAGCTGTAACCAAAAAATTTCTACTTCTAATTCGAAAAAGGTTTAATAAATCGTTTATTTTGCAATTCTAGACATAGTACTACTTTTTCGATCAAGCTGATTATATTAAAATTGGTATTAAAAATTGTCATGAAAATGATAATACTATTAACTGATCCATTTCCAGCACAAAAAACTCTTAACGAATTGTCATAAAAAACATCGGGCCATTAAATTCTCACAAGTGCTCGTAAACGATACATACATATATGTATGTATTAGATACCTACCTTGTTTAACAGGATAGATAAAAGATTCTGTTATATAAAACATTGTTTGAGATACTTATAACACATATCATATGATGAATCGATCCGCAAATCAATTCTTTTTTTCGACATAGAGAATTATTTAAAAACTTTGAGAGTCACAATACATTGCATTGAATTTCTGCTTAACTATGAATTTAGTAATTTTGGTAATAAGACCTCTTTGTAATAAGATCAATTATTATTATTGATCAGTGAAATTTTTGTAAGAGTTTATTCTAAGGGATTGATTCTTCTGAAAACATTTTTCATTATTTGTAAAAAGACTTATTTAAACGTGTTGGGACTTTTTTAAACGTGTTATAAAGCTGAATGAAGGAAACTCCAATACGTCGTCAAAATAGGAAATTGAAATATCTCTGACATGCTTTTTAAATAAATTTAGTTTTGTAGTATGTTTTCAAATGTTTTATATACATCACGGTTGAAAAATTGAGTTAGTTCATTAATTTTTCACTAAAGGAAATATTTAACTTTGTTGTAGTTACCTAACGTCTTATTGGGAAAGCGGTTGTGAATTCTGATATTCATAATTATGTCAGAAGAAAAATGATTTCTTATATTTAAAACCCACAGAAACATGTTTAAATTTTAAATATATTCCATTTTATTTATAAAATACCTTGTCCTTATGACATGTTTGACTCAGAAAGTGTAAATTTTGAGTTGACCTGGCTCTATCTTTTAGATGGAATAACCCCATAAAACTGTTTTTTTTTCTTTGTTTAAAGTTATAACTAGTTCTGGTATTTATAAAGTGTTTCTTTGAAATCAAGATAAGTTTAGAGAAGTTTCAAACTTGTTAATTAATTATTATAGATCAAATTACAAGAATTGTACAGATATTTTATCTTATTGTGGAAGTGATAAATGGCGAAAGCTATTATTTTTATTGTATTTTAAAGTATAAACTCCAAATGTTTTATTCAGTCCTGAATTAAATGACCTCCGTGTGTATGTTTTAACGTGTGTATGTATGTTTTCAAAAATAATTATATATGAGAATTACGATATTTAGTATTGCTGTTATTTATATATGTTAATAAAATATTCAGGATGAAGTAATTTACTTAAATATTTTAGGACCCTCATCATCGTTAATATCATATTCAATTTAACATTAATTTAAAATATTTTTTTAACTTTTAACATGACACTTCCATGAGAGTGGAAATACGACACTACCATTCACTATTTCTTGAATAATAAAAAAGTATATTTTTTTATTTACAATAATTATAACTTAGAGCGCTTTTTATAATGTCTATTTTATAATATCTATATCTATAAAATGGCCCTTTGATCTTTTTTTTTTAATTATTGGTTGTGTAGGGCTTATCACACTGGTATGTCTTGTATGGATGCGTGGATTAAACGTTGTCTGCCAACGGATGGGCAGAAGATAGTTCAGCAGCAAATTGGAGGTGCACGACTACTCATGCGTTATTTATGCACTAATGGAACAGGATTACGAAATGGTAAGAGGCTTTGTGAATGTTTTCTTTAATATTCATCGTATTTTATAAAAATTTGAAGTAATTGAAAGTATATAAATAAAAAAAAGGAAAATCACAAATCGAATAATCGATTAAAATAATTTTTCTTGTAATGTATGTCGAATTTATTACCTACCAATTCATCGTTTATGAAAGTGAGATGTCAGTATAAGTGATGTCACTAATGCATTTTTTTTCGACTGTCGTCAGTTTCTCCGGTAAGGTAAGGTCATTCTAAGGTAACCTCGTAGACGCCTCCAATAGCACCCCTGCGCTCCGAGCCGGGGTCGGCGTGGTAACCCGGCTCCAGTGAAAACCCGGCGTCGTCGAGGTGGTCCTAATTGCCGGGATCACCCCCATACTCCGAGGGAGTAAGTCCGGTCTTTGCCAGGAGCAGCAAATCGCTGGTGTGCCCTGTTGCTGACAGATCCGGGGTATATCGACATAGCGGCCGATGGCTTTCGCAGTGGTTTTAGTGAGTAGGGGCCTGCCCAGGTCGAGCCTCACACATCCCTTCCGGCCCCACCAAGGCCGGTTGGACGGCTCGTAATAAGAGTTTCCCTGCTTTATCAAAAAAAAAACGAAGGTTACCTCGTAGACGGTTTAACGATTTCTTTATTTCCAAGGGGTCCGATCATCAACGGCTCGAGTGAGAATGTTTTTAATTTGAAACCTCGCTTCCATTTTTACCAACCAACACTCAGTGTTGGGATTGCACTTTCACAGGTTATAAATTAAGTAAATAAAATGACATATGTATATGTTATTTTGCAGGGCACTTTGAGAAAAGTGTTTGATTAAAATTTAACATTCAATGTACAACATTAGTTATTTATAGTTAATAGTTTTTTTAATGATCTCTTTTTCAAAAACCATTCTAGAATAAGTATATCTATCAAAGATTAAATAGAAACTGTTTTAACAGATTTCCTGAAGGAGCCATCATGTTGGTTGCTGGTGTCATCAGACTGGTCACGATGTGTAGACGAGCTGCAACTGGCTGCAAGAGAGATTTCCGAGCGCTCCCACCACATAGTTTTCTTCAACAAGAATACTGAGCTGTGCTGGTAATGTATTATATACCTGGTAATACATATTTCGCACTTTCTTCGTAATAATAATAAAGCTCATTTATTTAATGACGTATAATAAAGAACACCTAATAAATAGTTTTTTCTCTTATATATGCGCTTCTTATCTTTTGAATTTTCTTACTTTCGATGGCTTTGTGACAGTTTGTTAGTTTAGTTTTTTTTTGTATTATACGTCCATATTTGGTAGCCGTAGGTGAAAGTTGGTAGTAGGTAATAATATAATCTTCTTCAGGTGCAGGGGTGAAGTGCCTTTTAGAATTTCCTATAGACTTCTGATCTTTTTCAATCAATGCTTAGTTGCCGTTTTCTTTCTTCTTTTTAGTTACATATTGTTACTGAAAGATACTTGTTTGCCGAGACATATGTAGTTACTGGGGTGATCTAGTGGTTTGTCGTATAGTTATGGAATTTTTATTCATAATTTACTAGCTCAATAAATAGTCCTATATTAAACATTTTGAAAACAGATAATACATCTGAATGTTCTAATTTATTTTTACTGTCTTTGGACTGACCTTGTCGTTACAATGTTCTCTTAAACCTCCGAAAGTTAACACTACATTTGTGTCAACAAGAACATAAAGATATGGTGGTAAAAATTTGCTATAAATTCTGTATGAAGAAGTTTAAAAACTGTCATCACCCTTTTTAATTAACTGGTAATACAATGCTTACAAAATTAAATTTATAATTATAACCGCTGTCAAAATCTGCCGGGCGTTGAAATTTTTAACCTGAAATGAGCTACAATTTCGTTATTATATGAATTGTACCTAACAGCCAAGGCAACAGCAGCCTCCGGCATTAACTTTCCATTACGCTTAGGTTTTTGGTTTAATCGTTTTTGAATAAAATATAATGTTAACATTTTACAGACATTAGAATTAGTTAATTTAACTTTTGACTAATTATTAATATCGGATGGTTATTAATTAAGGTCTCTAGTTAATAATTTCTTATAGTATAATGTAAATTTACAAGCAATAAGTTCTCTTTACAATATATTTTATTGCAAATGTTAGAGGAAATGAGTGTGAATATTATCCTATGAGAAAAGGAGAGACTCATAAAAACTTGCAAACGAAACTTTTTGGTACAAAATAGCCTAGGGGGAGTGCCTATGTTTTGTTGTTCTTATTAATTATATAAGAATCCCATACTATCCCTTTCAAGGAATGTTTCAAGAGCTACTTTACACCTCCCGTAGAAGCAGTGAAAGTGTTTTGAAATATAAATCCATTTATATACATATACATATATACTTGATAATATCTAATCTTAGGACGAAAATGATGTCCTTCTATTATATATCAATAGAATTGTGCCAAATACGGTTTTAGTATTTTTATATTGTTTTTAGTATTTCTATTTGTATCGTCGGTAAAACATACCATGAACAGTTGTATTATCAAAGGTTGTAGTCAGTAGTGTAAATGTAATTTTTATATTACAGTCACGTCAACTTAAGTTGTTTAAGATCACGGACGGAGATGAGAATAATGTTCTAAATAGGGAACTAGCTTCTCCCTCTTTGTTGTATAAAAAGGATCTTTTTGAATTACTCTCTTTGGCAATGGCTTGAAACTCTCTATGAGGTTAATCGTCTAATTATTTTCTTTAAATTTCAACAATTATTTTTTTTATCTCATTAAGCTGTTTTAACAAAATTACGTTAAGATTGTACATTTCGTACATCTCGAACCCTAACCTACACTTTTAATTTAAAAAAACGTATTTTGCTCATATACAGTAATATTTTCTAATATTGAAGATTTTGTAAATTAAATCTCTTTAATCTGAAAGGCTGAAACTGAACCAGTCTAAGGGTCGTGGTGAGATCTTTCAATCTATTTTATGTGTTGCGCTTCTTCCGATCCTTAGTTATGTTGGTAAATTAGGTTTAATAAAAAAAGTGTTATAATTAAAATGAGTGTCGCTTTTTTACTTTTATTTTAAAATGCTTGTGTCTATTTAATGCAACCTCACTTCTATTCACTAAAAGAGGTTAAATTACTCTATCTCTATGCAAATTAACGTTGTAAAAGGTAAGAATTTTTTACTTCTTTTTATTTTTTTATATTTATTCTATTTTTGAAGCAGTTATTAACCATTGTAATATTTTCCTTAGAACTTTTTAATAAATATATTTTTAACCAAAGAGAGATATGTTATTTAAACTTAAATGCGCTTTCATAACAGATAGCAGTTTACAATCAAATAAATATGATTTTTAAATATTTCTTTCAAATTTTCTTTTCTGTCACATTAAACATCGAGAATTTTTCTTGACTATTATTTTCCTATTTCTTTTATAAGAGATATGGAAGCAAAAGTTTTTCGTGTTGTATTTATCTTTCTTATAATCTTCCTATCCCCTAAAATCTTTATACACCAGTCTATCTTTATTTGTATTACTTTATTATTAAAGCTCTCTTAACACAAGTAAACCAGTTGAGGTACCATATAAAAGGGCACGCTGAGAATAATTAGAAAGAAAACTTGTTATTGAAAAGTTCTTTTCCTTTAAATTTATATAATAGATAAAAATCTAACTGTCTATAAATGTCAAAGATGTCTTGAACAATAATTTCTTTGAATTCCAACATAAATAAGTCATCCATGAAGATAAAATTATTTTTACTCACTACATAAAATATCTATAACCCAATCACTTAATTTTTCATTTTTTTTATCTTGAAATTTCTATTTATGAAAGTTCTCATATACTTATGAAGGAAACATTATAATTTTCCCGGATCGTGTCTCATCCTTCCTACACGACACTGTCAGAATATACTGTGCACGCCTTTGCACGGATGAAGGCCATATTTTAAACAACCAACCAAACATTATAATTTATTATTAATATACATTTTAAACTAGCGCTCGAGATGCCTTCGTGTCGTGTGTGAGTCGGGCAGGACGAGCGTGTTCGGCGTCATCTGCAGCGTTGTTGCGCCGCATGTCGTGGGTACTGGCGCAGGATATAGCTGCTTGCAATCAACAACCGCGAGTGGTATGCAGTGCTCCACAACAGCAAGGTCTTACATTGCTTGCTGCTCTCTCTGGCGTACTATTGTGCCCTCTGGCCCTATAAAACATCGTAAAATTTTATATATATTATATAAAACATTCCATTGTAGTAATTACTTTCAAGATTTATTCATGTATGTACATTATATATTTTGTTTAGGAAGAGCAAATTTTTTTAGAGTTATATAGTGACGGTAAAATTTAATGTAGGTATGTTTATATTTTATTCACTTATTAAAAATAAAAATGTAATATTTAGATAAACTTTAGAAATTCAATAAAAAAAATTGTTACTATTTTGATTTTAATACTGCCTTGATATGAATTTTATTTTTATAACGAATATTTTCATTTATTTCCTGACTTAGAAATAAAGATTTGAATTTAAATGTAAATATCTAAAAGAAAACAAAACTCTTTTGAGGTATAAATTTTAAATGTTCATATAATCGAGATTGCTTAAGGTCAACCCTCAAAAGTTTCTTAATTAATTGAGAAGTAGAGTATATTATTGAGTATATTATTAGCAGATCAGATAAAAGCTGTAACAAATTGAATTCTGCACAGTAATTTGCTGTCCATTTGTTTGCTTGAAACTCATTGTAAAATATCAGAAACGTTATTACACTAATACTAAAAATACTTGTTCTTTGGCTTTCTGACAAGCGTTTTCTGTTTGTTTATAAAAATTAATTGTTAACAAGATTTTGCAAACAATGCAATCTTTATCAATTTATTATAAAACTTAATGAGATTCTATTATTTTATTATAAAACTAACATTTTTGAAGGTAATTTTCGCATTTGGACCTCAACAGTTTTCCATGAATTTCTGATTAGTCATATAAAGGAGTGTCAAGGATTTGTCCATTCTTTTCGTACTTTTTAAGGTTTTATTAAAAATATAACAATATTTTGCCCTGTGTGTTTTATTTAACAATGACTATTCATAACGTATAATTTGCATTTGAATAGAATTGCTTTGTCACTTGTGTATCAGGAAGCTCATAAATTTTAAAGCGCTGCTTATATTTCAATGAACTAAATATGATTACAAATAGCGAAAAAATTGAATTGAGAAAATTAATTTCATTATTTCACAATTAACTGTCTAATAAAATTTAAGTTTTAACATTAACATGAACATAATATTATTTTTCATTTTTGTTCAAGTTGTATTTTAAGAGAAAAAGCAGTGTTACTAAATTTGTAAAATCTTTTAAGTCTTCCATTATCGGTCTCGACCCCGAATGTAAAAGAAGATTGTTGGTATTGAAGAAGACACCTATAATGTGAACCCTGAGTTTCAGGCAAAAATAACCTTATCACATAGAAGCATCGATTATTATTATCTTATGTCTAAATGTCAAGAATAGATTACCAGATCTGAAACGTGTAAGTTGTTGGATCAGAACCTACGCGATAGCCTAAGGCTACGATATAATGGTTATCAACAAGGATTTGAGAAAATCGATGTCTCTAATTTTGTTTCTTGGAAAAAAAAAAAACAAAAAATCCGTTCCAGAAGTAAAGGACGTACACTAAAAACCTTGAAAAATAAAATACGTTGAAAAATATCTGAAACACTTTATGAATACAGACAAGTGGCCCCAAGACATGACGAAATCCATCATTCCCTCGTTGTTCAAAAAGGTACAATTCAAATTTGTGAAAATTATCGTACGCACAACCTCATATTGCATGTCAGCAAAAACCTTGCTCACTATCGTAAATCAGAAACAAAGACATTTGCTACATAGGCAAATCTCACAAGAACAAGCGGTCTGGATATGCATAGGCAAGCGTGAACATACATTGAATGTAATAATGTGTATAACAAAATAAGGAAACTTAATAATATAAAAGGTTTATATGAAACTAAAATTTTGCTGTTTTATGAAAAACAATGTTTTAAATGACATTTATTGTATTTAAAATAAAATCAATATATTTTGGCAAATCATTATAAGACTAAATACTATTTCATTTTTTTTAGTTAAATACCGATTGCACATAACATAGTTATTGGACAATAGGTGAAGAAAGTACATAGAATGTGTTCTAAGTAAAGTGACTTTTGAGAGTTATAATTGATTGATGATGACATATGTATCTTTCACAACCCTATGAAGAATAAACCCTAAATGTAATATTTTAAAGATACATTTAGCCACATTTTTCATTATTTTCCAAAACTGCTCGCTGGTATTCAGATTTTGAAGCTTAATCTAACAATATTTTTATATTATTTACATTCCTACAAGTATTCATCAGCTTCGATATTTCAATTTGAAATTAAAATCCTTATTTTCATTACAATTCAATTTCATTTCTGTTTCTATAAAAAGCTTGAAGCACAATTACATTTTATATTTATGTTTAATGATTATTTGAAATGGCTTTTATTAGAATCGACATCATTTGCACAGCCGAGTATTATAGTATATAAGTTGAAGAGATTTTTAAATTTTTCTATTTTTTAGGTACATGTGTGCACAGTATATATAATGTTTATTGTGTACATTACTATTTAGTTCTGGAGAGAAAACTTATTTATTTATATGTTTCTATAACTTACGTTTTGACCAAGATTGGATTCTTCATTAATAATAATAATTTATTGATCTCAAAGAAAAACTGGTTATAATTAATTATCACTGCTAATTAGTTACTTAGATTAAATAAACCATCAATAAAGTTCATAAGAGCCCTGTGGCATTGCCTGTGTCCTGTGGTATTACAGGGCACAATGCCTTCTGCAATTTAATTTAAGATATATAACATTAAGCATATATTTTAATGACCTTGTGATAAACAAATATAGATTATAGGTACTAGTCCTTGCTGTGGTCAGTTTACTACAGCTCGAATATGAGCTGGCGCGACTGGGGAAGTACCACCATCTCAGAGGAGATCACCGTGAAGTAGCTTTTAATGGCTTGCTGTTCGTCCGATGAGTGAGAGATTCGGTTGCCCATTCCCTTTTCTCACTCTTTCCCACCATTTCCTTTTTTCCACCATTTCCTTTCCCTCTTCCTCGATGAAGGTTGGCAACGCATCCACAATATGATTAATGTTATAAATGTTAATAGGTGACGGTGACTACCTTCTTCCAAATAGGCGATCGCGTGTACCACCTTTGATATAAACATATATAGAACATGTACGCATGTTATTGAAAAATAAAAAAAATAACTTTAATGGGTATATGGAAATGGAATATATGGATTATTTTAAATATTATTAGAATCTCAATATTAAATAAGTTTCTTTTACATCGTAAATTGTAACCTTCGTTTATTTAGTGTTTATTCCAATTATCTTGCCAAATTTCGATATTATGTATAAACTATAATATATTTATATAATATACATTTACATGTTTTCCAAATTCAGTGTAAATAAAATAAGTTTCATAAATATATTGTGAGTCCTAATTAAATAAGAAAGAAATATGTTAATATATATAATTTGTTCAATAAGAAAAGTAATTGGGTAATTAAATTTGATGTTCAATGAAGGTAAACGTTATGTCATGGACTCAGCTGCTAAATTGAACGAGAGATTACAGCGGATATCAAAACATATGTATAACAATTATTGAGGATACAAATTACCCGCTTGAGTTTCTTCTCATTTGCAAAACGGTGGTTGTTTTGAAAATTACAATGTATGAAATAATTAAACTTCATATATTTAGAGTTAACATTTGTTTATGATATCATTTAATATCCATGAATCATTTTCGTAGAATAAAAAATATTTAAAATTAGGGTTTTAAGATCTATTTTCTGGTTTAAATTAACTGTTATAAGCTATTATTTTTAAGGTTAAGTTCATCTTCGTTATAACTAGCAATTAATCATTTTAGTGTTATTTATCCAGTACGCAACGGCCTAAATCTAAATAGAGCGTTAAATTATTCAAGTATATTCGCAGTTCTTCTACCAAGAGCGAGTACATCATCCATCATAGCTTGATAAATAATAATATAAAGGGGAGAGTCGGAGATTTAGTTTTTATTAACTATATTTATTTTTTTATCTGTACTGACTGATTATATAATATCAAAGACTAGATTAGACTCGTTCCTTAGATCCTTGATCTATTTTGTTCTTTATTACGATAGTTATTTTAATATGAATAAACAAAATATATTTTTATATGTAAATCTGAAACTCGACAACATACTGTTGTATGTAGACACATAATATGTAGTATTGTAAAAATCACGTACAACTTATAGCTATAACCTGAAAAGCCTATCTATTGTAGAAAGGAAAAATTATATATATAACTTGTATACATATACAATTTTAATTTATTTGAAACTATTTTAAGTGTTTGTGAATTATACATACGTTATTTCCAAAATAACATACAATAAAAAACATATAAAAGATATTCGCTTGGCAAACATGAGCAATAAGCGCAATATTTATTTTCAATTTCAAATATAACTCTTGCAGTTTCATTGTAGACACGTTTCCATACTGAGAACTCTCATACTGGGATGTTTGTAGAATATAAATAAAAATATTGCTAAAGATCTATAATATTTAAATTCATATATAAAAATATTCATGACGAATTGATTCATCACATTTTTAATATCTTTCTCTTTACATTCAATATGTATTATTATTTTGATTTCAAAGAGATGTTATAACTAAAAATTGGATAAAAATATCATCTTTTAAAAGATTTTATTCAATATCATGTATTTTTGAAGTTGTTTAGATTTGTTTAAAAAACAAAAAATATTTTGTGAATGTCTTTTTGTTGCAACGACCAGACTACGTGATAAGCATACTACTTACATTTGACTTTCAGTTTATTGAAAATATCATACCTAAAACTTGGAATTGGAAATAATTTTAATATTAGCTAAGGTGGATTAAATCTTGCAAGTGAAATTACATCAATTCGCAAGATTGAATAAATAAGGTATCGTAATCATTTCGGGTGTCAACAATATTATAGTATTTTTTGGCTTTCTCGTCTTTCCATTTACTACAGTGTGTTTTTTTTTTATTTTCCAAGTTAATAAAAATTTAATTAACAA